AAGTCGTATTTTTTAGAAATTGCCTTTAGTCAGTAAAATGATATGCATCTTACAATTGGAGTGTTCAACACAACGGATGATAGTCATGAGTTTTTTTTTTTCCAGCACTGGGTATTCATCATTTAACCATATATCACACACACTGGAGGCACTTGACTTCTTCTTCTTTTGCAACAGGCACAGTCACAGTGGCCATGGCATCAAGCAAGTCAGGAGCTCTTCCTTCCATTTCTTTAATAAGCTGCTCCAAGTGAAATCTTCAAGGGAAGACTAAAGTGGTACTATTCCTTGTTACATATATGACATAGAGGCCAGCAGTTCCAGGCTTCTGCACACTTTTCATCAATCTCCTCTAAAAACTGTAATCTGACACAAGGTAGCAACATGATAGTCTTTACTACTGCAGCTGGAATGCTTGTCTGCGATGCAAGCCATAGCTTATATACTTCATCCTTTTTTTTTAAATTTAGCATTTGCATGTTCCGTCAACTAAATATAAAACAGAATGTAACTTTCCTAATATTGGTAACTATTTTCACTTTGAGTGAAACTCTCTAGAATGTTTTTAATCATGGTAAATTGGACAACAATTTCGACATGGAATTTTGAATGACGCACAAGTATAATGTGGTTGTGAAAAAAAAAATGTTAATCACAAAACAAGTGTAAATGTAATATTGTTAAAAGACAAAATTGACTTTCTAGCAAGAATTTTCATTATAGGTGTTTCTTGACTTATTTAAACGTTGAAAATGGAAATGATATATTACCATAAGCCAGTCAGTAAAAATTATAATAAGCCAGTTGATCATTTCTTATTCCTTTTGGCGGTCTTATGTTAACACGTTCGACACCTCTTTTTCTTAGAGGTGACCTGGGGTGTAAACATGTAGTACTTTTCATACGCCCTTTCTTCTCTGAATTTTCTGTTTATTCTGTCGTTATGTAGCAGTCTTCGAGGACTATTTTCTCTTAGGGTATCTCCTCGACTATGATTTGAATTATGTTAGAAGGTTAATTATAATTTTTATATTGCTTTTGAACTTTATTCGATACACATATTCAATGCTTTTTTCTATGTGCTGAAATATATGCTACCAGCCATATAATAATATTGGTTAAGGCCTTCCCTACCCGTTTACCATACCAAGACATAGAAAATAGAACTTACCTTAACGTATTGTACGAATATCTCAGCGCTAACCTTCCCTTCAACAACCTTGGGAAAAAAAAAATTAGACATCTACGCATGCGCCGAGAGCCGACGTTTGCCGAACGAATCTCGTTTCGTCAAATGAGTCTCGTTTCTTCAAACGAGTCTCGTTTCGTCAAATGAGTCTCGTTTCGTCAAATGAGTCTCGTTGTGTCAAACGAGTCTCGTTTCGTGAAACGAGCCTCGCTTTGACTCGTTTCGATTCTCTCGAACAAACGAGTCTCGTTGAAAATCGTTTATCGAGTGACTTATAAATCGTGACGATTCAAAATCGAGTGGTTTCCCAGAAACCGTGAGTGATCCCTATTTTCTATGTCTTGGTATGGTAAACGAGTAGGGAAGGCCTTAACCAATATTATTATATGGCTGGTAGCATATATTTCAGCACATAGAAAAAAGCATTGAATATGTGTATCGAATAAAGTTCAAAGCTTCCAGGCCCAATACTAAAGTTACTTCATTCCTCCACAACGAGGGATGGCAGAAATTATAACCATCTCAAAGATATAAATTTTGAAAAATAAAGGTCAAATGTTCCTGAAACTTCATGTGTCATAATGCAAGGAATATTTTATCATACTGTGCTGTTTTAGTTTTTTTTTTTTCTTTAATGAAGACCGTATTCATAGGATATTCGATCTTAAATTAAAGACATGAATGATAGACATAGTTTGAAGCTACACTGGTTTCCAGATTTAATGAATGTAACCGAAGAAGTTACAATTCATAGACCCAACGTTTCGACACTCCTGTCTAGTGCCTTCATCAGGGGTGATCTAAACGCTGCAACAAGAGGTCCTTTTATATGATCACTAATTAGCGGCCTTTTTTCTGACGAGGTGTAAATAGGCGTCAGGAAGCAGACCGCCATCGTCACGATTTAAAGGAGCGTGGGCGGAGTTAATGTGCCAAGCCTCCAAACAAAGGCGCTGGTGGTAACGCCGATTAGTAGTGATAATTTTAGAATTATCCCACCCAATTGTATGGTTGGTTAGGCAAGTATGCTCCGATAAAGCTGAATTTTCCTTTTTGCAAAGAAAAACCGCTTTTTGGTGCTCTTTTAACCGTGTACCAAACTGGCGTTTGGTCTGTCCGATGTATTCGTTATCACAGTCATTGCAAGGAATAGAATAAATGGCGTCGGTTCGTTGTTCTTTCGTGACAGGATCCTTAGGTTTGGCGAAAATATGCCCCAAAGTCTGAAAAGGTTTTTGAGCAACTTTAACGTTGTGGCTATTCAAAATTCTCTTGATGGGTTCAGTAACACCCTGTATGTAAGGAATAACAGCAAAACCAGTCGCTGGTTCCCTTTCATCAAGAGCGTTACTATTTGTAACTGGTTTTTGGCAGTTACGGAGAAAAGTTTTTGTATAGCCATTTGCCTTTAGGACATTGGAAACATATTTCCTCTCCTCAGCCTTCGAATCGAGTGATGATGGTAGACAATCAGCCCTCCTAAGTAAAGTTTTGGCTACAGACTTTTTATGGCAAATAGGATGGTGAGAATCGAAAGCGAGGTATTTGTCGGTGTGGGTGGGTTTACGGTAGACACTTGTCTCTAAATTACCCTGAACCCCTCTAGACACATTTAAATCAAGAAAGGGCAAATGTCTATCCTTTTCACGTTCAAGGGTGAATTGGATCGACGGCTCTACTGAATTCAAATGCGACAAGAGGCGCTCCGCTTCATTTCCGGATACCGCAGAAATAACATCATCGACATATCGTTTCCAGAAAAAGGGTTTAACTGGTGAAGTGGCTAAGGCCCTTTGTTCCACGTCTTCCATTACCATGTTAGCAATGACAGCAGAAACAGGCGAACCCATAGCTGTACCAAAAACTTGTTGATAGTATGTGCCGTTATATGTAAATTGCGTGGTTTTGAGGCAAAAAGACAGCAGATGAATAATATCCTCCACAGGCAAAGAAGTTCTTTGTCCTAGGGAAGCATCTTCTCTGAGTCTTTCCTCCGCAACCTTAACGGCAAGATCAACTGGGATTTTAGTGAAGAGCGAAACAACGTCGAAAGATACTAATTCTTCACAAGCGTCAAGAGTTTTATCTCTTATGAAATCCGTAAATTCGCAGGAATTTTTGACAGTGTAATCAGTATTCCCAACAACAGGCGACAAAATTCTCGCAAGATAACCAGAAATTGCATAAGTCGGAGAATTAACAAAAGAGACAATTGAGACAAATTTTAGGTAAGGTGGACATAAGCCGTCACTACTGTAATAATATAATAATAATAGTAATAATAGAAGGGTTTATTAAAAGTATTCAAAAATAGCACCCCAGTGGTGAAATACATGTGAATTTACAAGTAAATCTTACATTTGACTTTAAAATTAAGGTCTAAGCTGGGAATTACAAGAGTCAACCAATGAAAAACGCTTAGGTTTGCTTGACTACAAGGGGCGTTAGACATTGTTGGAAGCTTTCGGTCCGGCATTTAAAGAGTGATACATGGTTTTTGTTGCGCAACTCATAAACGTGGCAATCGGCGCGCTGTATAACATTTTGTACGTAGAGTCACTAATTCTGCCAGCTTTTTTCAAATCAAGCAACATTTTGTTTAACTTTCTTTGAGTTTTACTGGTAGGATCAGAGTTTAAGACAGCATACGTACTCTTGTCATTGAGCAGAGACAAAGCTTTGTCGTGATATTGCTGTTTGTCCATAACCACAACACAATTACCCTTGTCCGCAGATAATACGAGCCTGTCCGGATCCTTTTTGAGAGTTATAAGCGCATTGAAAACATCCTTTTGAATGTTTTTAGGAGGAGGTTTAGCACGCCTGAGTACGCTACTTACTTCTGCTCTTACCAAATGCCTACGATCGTCGTCGAGTTGAGAGATACTCTCCTCAACAGCGGCGACAATTTCGGCGGTCGGTATTTTGCGAGGAGCAATAGCAAACTTTAGACCCTTCTCTAAACCACTCCGTTCCAGCGCGGATAATTCCTTGGAGGAAAGGTTCATGACCCATTTATCTTTCAGAGATGAGCCTGAATTAACAGGAGACCTCTTACTGAGCAAGTGACGGAGTTTTTTGTCATGTTTCTCTCTCTGTTTAGTAAACGTCTGCAGTTCTTTCGAAATGCAAAACTCCTCGACCTCCTCGATTATAGCACATTAACTCCGCCCACGCTCCTTTAAATCGTGACGATGGCGGTCTGCTTCCTGACGCCTATTTACACCTCGTCAGAAAAAAGGCCGCTAATTAGTGATCATATAAAAGGACCTCTTGTTGCAGCATTTAGATCACCCATGATGAAGGCACTAGACAGGAGTGTCGAAACGTTGGGTCTATGAATTGTAACTTCTTCGGTTACATTCATTAAATCTGGAAACCAGTGTAGCTTCAAACTATGTCTGATTGTCCACCTGGTTGCCGTGTGAACTTTAATACATGAATGATAATTTCTTTCTTAAAATGAGTTTTTCCTCGTAAACCATCTTTTTATCTCAGGGATATAATCAAAATAAATACAAATTAAAATGAGAAATCTAACTTCGCTACAAAAAAATGTTCTTACATGTTAATGTTTCAGAAAATTTTTCAGATTATTACAGAGATGAGATTGCTTCGGTTGGTCTTGGATCACCAATCTTTCTATCACGACGCAGAAAAAAAGGATAGTTTTAGAAAGAGAGCTTTGATTTATAAAATGATTTTGTTAGAGTTTTTAAGAAACAAACAATGAGGGGAATATATTTGGTTGATGACCATGATGACCAAAACAAAAATTGTTATTATCTGTAGCATATTTATTATAGCTCAATGATCTCTTTGCCTCTGGAAAATGTTGTCAAATACACCAAACAACTAATACATGTTGGAAAACTTGATATCATTTATTCTCATCATATTTACAAAGAAAACTTTATGACAGGAATGAAACGAAAACTTAAGGCTAAGTACAAGGCACTGCACAGTCACTAAAGGCTAATTGTTGCTCTCATTTACAACTTCTACTCTTTCACTAGTTTCTTTGTTGCCTTCTTGCAGAGATGCAATATTTTTCTTCTTTCTTCTCTTCCGTGTCTTCTTCTTTTTCTTCTTTTCTAGTTCTGTGGGTATAGTAAGAAGAAATTGTTGTGGTGAGTTGTTTATAGGGTTTTGCTATTGGTCATCTGGGAGTGGAATTTCCCATTTTGGAATGCTTTGAGCAAATTAGAAAGCTGAAGAAATTCACTAGCCATGACACTTAATAAATTGCGTTTATCAAATCGTACCCTCACTTAAAGTCTTGTTCTCCTCAACCTTATCTCTGTGCTCTCCCTTGTCCTTGTCATCTTTAAAGGTAAAGAAAAAGGCCTTGATTTTTTTAATGTTGCAGTTCACAGGCAAATTTCCTTTATGCATATGAGTCTAGAAAAAATAACTTTATAGGGGGTTTCTTGTTACTTTATTTCAAGTTTGCTATATTTAGAAGTGCAGAAACAAGTACCTAGGTTTACAGCTTAATTTTTTTCCATGGTATAATTGGCCATCATGTTGGAAAGTGAATGGGGACTTTCAAGGGTCATTTATCACATGCAATTTTACCTTGTGATTGCTGTTTGTACTATCTGCATGGAATTTTTCCTCTTCTATGAAAGGAATGTTTTACGTACCAGAAACAGTGGCATTGAGGGATCCCTCTTTTGTTTGCGAAATGTATTAATAGAAACTTCTGTGAAGAAAATTTTCCACTTTCCAGGAATGGTGGAATCAAGGGATTGATCGGGATCAAAATTCCCATAGAAAGACACCTGTAATCAACCAGAGTTTGAATGTTAACTACAACTGTTACAAAATTAATATGATCAACGGAAAAAAAAAAACTAAGGAAGGAAAGGATCCATGTGATTTTTCTCACCTCATCATCTTTTCCAAATATTTCAGTTGCTTCATCTTGTTTCTGTGAAACAACATAGACATAAACCAGTTTTTTTAATTTAATTGTTACTACGTGGCTCTTTCAAGATCCTTTTACATGTTACTTACCCTAGTTATCAGGCACAGTTTTTCTGATTGGAGGAGATTTTTGTTGGGAAGTCTCCTGCCCAACCCAGTCATACACCTCCTGTAAATCAATTGATGAGAAAGAATGTAAGCATGTTGATGCTCCATTATTAAAGGCCATGTGTGACATTGTATAGAGTGTAGGCATTATATATATATATATATATATATATATATATGCCTTATTGTACTTTAAGCTATTTTATTTGTAATGAGTTAGCAGTCAACTGTTTCAGAGAACTCACTTGATATGTTCCTTTTTGTGAAAAATTTATTTTTATTTCCCTGCTATCTTCAAGGAGAACGTCTATGAGGAAACAATCTCCAGCAGGTTCTTGGGTGAGACATTTCTGTCTCATGGCTTTTACCTGATATCAAAGTATTGGTTATTTTTCAGTTCTTTGATATATTGAGAAAAGTCAAATACCCAAAGCATGCAGCAGAGACAGCTTACCACAATGTAAATTTGTTATTTGAAGATCATCCTCAATTTGGTTGCAATTGTTCAAGTATGATTCCCCCTTTGTTGATGTTGGCAACAATAATTTATGACCACATGAAAAAGAGACATCAACACTGAGAGGAGAGAGGGCTGTTTGAACAATAATTGACCATGAAATTAATTTGCATTTCTTTTTCGCAGAAAGTTAAACCACAACACTTATACTACTCAACTCCTTTTCCACCATGGTTATGTCAAATTTTCACCAGTTATGGCAGCAAATTAAACTCATAGAACATGTTTTTGCACATTGGGGGTTTAAATTATTTGTTACTTTGAAAAAAGGTATCCAGCAACAATAATTATTTTGGTTTAATTTGTAGTTTAAGGAATTTACTTACCCTTTTCATTTTCTCTAAAGTAGGGGAATCTTCTGCTCCTTCTTTCCCTAGGGCAATTGTCCCTGACCCTTGTGCTACTTGACTAGTTAAATGAAATGTTTATAGAATTTTCTTAGACATTTATCAATAGTTGAATACCATGAGTGGAGTCAACTCTGAGAAATGTTTTGATCCAATTTGACACAAGAAAATTTTCAGATGTTTTAGCTAACATTAATTCTTTGGAAAAATAAAATTATTATATTATTATATTTATGCATTTTGATGCTATTGTTTTATCAAGAAACGTGATATTTGCTTTAGATTTTGTTGTGTTATGTTATCGCCCACCTTTTTGCTGAAAGATGACAACATTTTTGGGTGTTGTTTATGATACATGAAAAGGCAGTAATTGTACATGAAATTTGTCCTTTTGTTGATATTTCTGGCTCGTGACTTATCTCTGCATCCAAAACATTTATAACAAACTGAAAAATTAGATATTCTAAAGTACTCACCAATCCTTTCTAGAGGTGGATGGTAAAAGTTCACATAAGCAACGAATTGCATGTTCCAGTTGTTCATCAGATACCTCTTTCAGGGATTCTCCTAGGTGTAACAAAATGTCTGATGCTGATTGTAAAACTAGCTTAAAAGCTTGGTAACCAGTTCAATATTAATTCAAGATGTAAACAAAACATTGTTTAGAACTATTAGGACAATTTAAGGAGACAGATTTTTAAGGCAGCAATTTTTCATATGTTACAATTTTAGTTTAAATTTATATGCATCTCCTCAACCAATTGACTCCACAGAGTAGATAAGTCTTTGAGCTATTTTTGCTATTATGCACATCAGGAAGGAAAATATACAGATTCAGACTCTGCAATAGCCTTCAGAAATACATTCTTTGTTTTATTTAAGAGGGTTTGATAATTTTAATTGATTGGCAAAATCTTTAAACTTACCTGAAAAGCAAACATTAAGACAGGGGTCATTTGGTTTTGGGGTTAGGATCATCAACTCACTAACTGGAGCTTTTCTTCCAAATGTGGTCTTTACTGCAAAAGGAAAATATTCAAGTATTTTAATGAATTTGAATGTTATGTTTTGATTTGGGGTAGCTATTTGTTACAAATTTTGGTGGTGCTATGATGAAAGGAACATTGCTCTGGAGTCTTAATTATCTGATTAGAGTGCCAGGTTCTAGACATCAACATTAACAACATTGGTTTTACCCATAAATGTTAATTTCATGGTTGTAAACCTATTAAATTCTTTTAAATCCAATTCTCACAACCTGTGCATATATTATTATTCTATTATGTACTGGTATATATTTTAATCAACAATATCACTACCTTGTCTTCCAGTTTGGCTTTTAGCATTGTCAATCCACAAGTAGATGGACTTAAATTGTGCCAAGCACTTTAACAACCTATTTAAGGTGAAACCAAAGGGGAAAAAAAGGATTTCAATTTATTAAAACAATGGAGCATTGGTTTCTTAACAGATAGATTTGCTTCAAAACATGATATCAAGTGTCTTAAGCATCACAGTCTTCATCAGTTGAAGAGTTTTAAGGTAAATATTTCTAGGTTTGGAAGCACTTAAGAACTTAATTAAGCAATTTACCTTGCCATGTGTTCGTCATTGTTCCCAGTGTAAAATAGGGCCAAGCCCAAAACTTTCTTGGCTCTTGCCACTTGATGGCATCTACATTTCCAAACAAACATCCAAGAAAGAACAATGTATTGATATATGCAATTAAGCAATTTTTGTGAATATCAAAAAGTAAATTTTAAGGAAGCACGTGATATGAGAACAATAATTGTGGCTGTCAAATTTTGATATAATTGTGGGTGGCTGACAAGCGAAATATGACAGGCCATCAACACATACCTCTTCGAAGATGACATTCACAAATAGGGGCTGGACATCTCTTTGCTCAAGCACCTCTTGGAAGCATCGAAAAAGTTCACTGAATTGACTATCATCTGAAATGAAGAGAATGTAAACATTACCGGTAACAAGGAAGTAATTAACAACTATGAATTCATGTCCCACTCAAAACTTGAACTTTTAATTATGTATCTGCTATACAGATGCAAATTTTATTCTGGAAATAGGTTAATAATAGTAACATAAAATGTATAGCACAAACCTGGCACAGGCTTTACATCTTTTACTGTTCACATTATATTCTTCAGCTCCATAATTTACCCTAATTTTATTATCATGACTCATTACTTTTTCGATCCTTTCCTCTCTCTTGCTTCCAGTATGACTGTACTAGCAATTAATAAGGCGTCAACTTCGTAGTTAACTATTACTAGAAATTTGTGGGTTGTTTGATATCATGGGATTTCATTGTATTCGGGATAAGGATTTGTTGAATTGTTGCTGTTTACAAACCATCAAACCTGCATTCTACCTCTTTCCTGGTGTGCCGCAATTGACTTTGTGGCGTTATTTTCTGAGGTTGCCAGTTTTTCTATAGACTTCTCAACTACAAATCCTCCCAATCCACAACCAGAACATGGTAGTGTGGCTTCCCCAAAATCAAAATATGAATAACTTCATCCTGATGACAAAAACACAGTGGAGAGCGTATAAATTTTCACATTTGCATTCAATGATGAATGAACAGTTACTGAGGCAGGTAAAATGTATGCGTACAGAGATGTATGTTGACTTACAAAGCAATGTGCCTCGACAGATTTGAATGTACACTTTCAAAGATGAATGTACATTTAGAAAGTTTATGTGCCTTTTTAATACAGAGTTGATTGAACACTTGTAACAAAGCTGTACATACTAAGAAAGATGAATGCACACTTGAAATTGAATGTATTTACTGACCGCTTACACTTGGCATATCCATCTCAAAATTTGTACGGAATATTTTCCACTGTCTCATGCAAAAGTCATAACTTTTATTTAATCTGAAAAGAACTTATTAGGAGAATATTTCTTTTATTTTGAAATCACGTATATTATTACAGACCCAATTGCACTCTGCTCAGTTCATGGCTCTTCATGATTCAATCATTTAAAGCCACTTCAGTAAAATCAAAAGAAATGTTCTCCTGATAAGCTCTTGGTAACAAAGTAGAAATCCCACCCATACCCATTTTATACTTCTTTGGGGACCAAGAAATATACGTTTTAACCGTCATAGGGTAAAAAACCTTCATTCCTTGGCCATGAGAATCCACCCAGGATCTCACCCAAGAGGAAACTAATCAGCATCGAAATAATCTTTTTCAAAAAAATGTCCGTCTATCCCTCGACACTCCCTTACCAGCAAACAAGAAACGAAAAACATTCCCGAAAAACCAACCTTAACGGTAAACGTGACCGCGATTTCAAGTGCCGTTCGACGGCCACCCGAAAAGAACACTCATTTTCTGGAATTATTGCAACGTCCGGGCTTCGCCAGTTGAATAGTTCCTCGCATCGAGGCAAGATACCCTCCTCTGGCTCCCACGAGGCTTCGTAAGGCAAGTAGCCCTTCCATTGCACCAAGTATTCTACCTAATTAAATACAAGGCAAATCCTGTGCTGATTTCGACTGAATTCAGTTAAAAATATATAAACACAAGCGAGCACGTGCGAAGACAGGCACTACGGCGAAACACTTACCGTTTCATCTGTTTCCCGTCTTTCGACAAGCCTTTCGACTTCCCAATAAGTCGATCTTCAATACTAGATTAATTTCTCCGGCTGGACAAAGTCGGCATCCGCGGATTAGATGGCATTTAACATCAAAATATACCCTTTCGAAAGTCTCCCGAGCGACGCCATTTTGGTTTAACTAAAGCGTTTACTTTAACAGATGAACCATTCACACGCTAGCTTTCTTGAAAGGCTATCATGTGTGCTTGCGCGTAACAACCAGAACAACCAGAACAACCAGAACCAATGTTCTTCGAGGGTAAAGTATGCTAAGGACTATCGCAATGGCTTAAAAATTCTATCAAATCATTCGCTTATTCCAAATTCCTATTTGCAGTTGCATATGCATTTATGTTTGTTGTGCAAGTTGAGAATTTGTTTCACCGAAACAAATTTTTCCCGCAGGTTTCTTCACAGTAATGCAATTACAAACATTGAAAAGAGGACTTTTGACAGACTCGCACTGAAGCAATTGTGAGTAAATTGAAGAATACAGGGATTTCCTTTGAACCTAAAACTTGGAATGTGATACATTGACAAACTGAATTTTTTTTTTCTTTGCTGTTGTGTAAGTGTCAGCTGATGCCATACGCATAACTAAAAAAATCGCACCCACCATTTCTCTTGATATTAGAAGCTTTAGCATGACATTTCTTGTTCAAGGGTATATACACGCTTCATTTTCAGAACCATCTTTGACAATCCTTTAAACTCATTACCAGATGGAATGTTCGACGAAATGGCAAATCATACTAAAGTGTAAGTCAAGGCGTTTGGCCTAAGAGCTCGTAGATTTTTTTAAAAATTTTATTTAAGAAACTGATGTTAGTGGGATACTTACAAATTCTAGATACTCCTAGATATACTTTGTATACTCTCGAGTTTACCTGGAAATTTTGGGCTGATTTTCATGGGTTAACATAGTCATCTCTAAAAGTATTTAAACTTACGCAAGAACACGACCAAAAAGTTATGTATATTTTACGAATAGCTGAGAACACCTCTAACACAGAACAAACCTATTTATATCATATTATTCATTATCATCTTCATCATCATTATCGTTGTATCGTTGTCGCCGTCGTCATGGACGTCTTCGTCGTCATCAGCGTTATCGTTACAGTTGTAAAATTTGTGTTTTTTTTCCTTTTCCTTTTGATACGGCTTCACGTTCTTATCCATATTGGCACGTATGAAGTATTTCAAATCGTTTTGTTGTTGTTGTTGTTGTTTTTTATCTTCAGTAGCTCTCATTATCCAGTAGGTGGTAAGGCAGGGTAGATAAAGGGAAATGGACTGTCAGCTGAGGAAACCCGAGTACGCTATGGCGACATAGACTATATGTCATTATTCTTTTAACCAAAATCAAGTTAGTTTTTGCACCCAAAAGTTTTAAATTCAACTCGTTTACAGGGCATTAACGTGTAAAAATCTTCGTCAGCTGCCTCTGGGAAAGTATGTGTCTCAAATGTAAGTAGGCCTCAAGTTTCATTTTATTCTCACGCTGTAGAATGATAAACATCTGCACTGACCTCCTAGCGGCCCATTTGACTTTCAGGGTTTGAATAAGTTTAATTCTTAAAATTCAGCCTTTGCCTTGTCGGATCTATTCATGATATAATGCAATTCCTGAGAATGGCTCTTGTGCTGGATGACGTCATTTAGTGAAATTCTACCCCCTCTCCCTTTCCCAGGCAAACTACACATGAATCGCAGCCACTTTCAAATTATTTACATGAGCGTACTAGTTTAATTTCAGTGCCGTGGGAATACTTACTTGGTTAAAATTCATCAGTGTACACCCGGAAAGCCAACTGGGTCCTGCGCCTCACTGGGTTTCATCCGTCTCAAAACCAAACCGCGCTTATGTAGTTATTTTTACCTCGTTTCCAGATCTCTCATGTCATGGGTAGGGAGAGGTCAGTTCTGACAAAAATTTTCAATTAGTATTCCATGAATATCTTCTTGCTTTCCATTAGAAAGGATATGAAAATAACAAAATACTTTGTAATCAACTTTTAAAACAATTTTGATCGTAGTCATTTATCAGTGCCATCGACTTTGGCTATTAGTCTCTTCACGGGAAAATTACAATATTATTTTAAACGTAGCTTTTTATTTATTGTAATTGTCCAATCCTCAGTGAGTGTACACCCCCGACATCTCTGCACATCATTTTGGACAACGACCAATCTGGCTTCAAATTGTACTTTACACGCTCAGGTTTTGTTTGTCATGACTGTCCATCCTACAAAAAACACAGTCTACAATACGGATGTACAAATTGCAGCCTATGTCCAGTTGGTACCTGTATGTATAATGATGAAAACCGCTGTCTACAGTGTCCTGCAGGTAATGGGAAGAAACAATTATTTCATCGTTGATATACGTATTGTAAAAGACAAGTAACAGGGAATCACTTGAAGCATTGTGCGCTAAAACATGTTTATATAACAGAGGAGAAAACGTTTCGTCCATACATTTTCAGTACTTGTTCATCCAAATGCAATTCAGTCAAACCCCTTCCTTTCAAAATTAAAAAAAAAAAAGGATTTTGAAAAAGTTATAAACGATAATCCATTTCTAATATAATTACATTAAATAAGAAAGTGACACTGGTTTGACAAAAATGAATGCATGTCATGTGATTCGTGTGATACTTTCTGGTGTTCTGTAGATTCTTTATGTGTCTATATAGGCTAGATGGTCACCGGTAGTGGCTTCAGCTCTTTAAGATATGTATACGAAACCTGGCTCCTACGTACATCATTATTCCCTTACTGAGCCAAATTACAAAAATAAAAAATTGAGAAGACGAATTTCGAAAAACTGACCCAATTGATAACGAGAAACGACTGATCAGATGCCATCTAAATTCTTGATCATCCTTGTTTCCTTTGCTTTTAGGCACACGGTTGAATTTTGATGGAATCATTATTTTTTTTCCTTTAACGTATTTTTTCACTTATTTTGTAGACGGCTTTGGTAATTGAACGGTGCTGGTATACCGTGACATGGTTTTCGCAAGGGTATAATTCTTTTATCAGAAACGAATTGGAAACAAACAGTAACATTTATAAAAGTTGTTTTTATGCTGTAATTGGATGTAACAGTTGACTCTCCTCTAATGGGCCAAGAAAATCCACCGGTATAATGTATTTTTGCTCTATAATATCTTCACAGGGGGTTTTTATCAGGATGAAATGGGACAAGTTGATTGCAAAAGATGCAGTATTGGTACATTTGTTTCTGAACAGCGACGTCCTGGGACCAAGGCTACTGACTGCGTGGCATGTCCATACGGTAACTGCTGTGTTTG